GCGTGAAACACAAATAACTGGTCTACCTTCCTGTTCCAAAACTGCGCCAATACCCACAGGTGATGCATCAGTGACAAGCGCAGACTGTACACTAGGGGAGTAAGTTCGAAGAACAGCATCACTTTGAAGAAACCTTAGTAGACTACGTAAGCACGACTCTTGTTCCTCACCCCATTTGAATGAATTAGATGTCAAAATATTAAATAAACAATTTGCACGACCAGAAAAATTAGGAATAAAACCGGAATAGTATTGAGGAGCACCCACTAGTGAACGTAGTTCTGTAAGATTTTTTGGAGACGGTGCATTTGTCAGTGGAGCTAGTCGTTTCATATCTGGTCTAAAACCATTACCATCGACTAGGTATCCAAGACATTCAAAACTAGATACACTAAATGAACAATTATTTGGATTTACTGCAATATTCTTCTCAATTAAACGACGCAATAAGGCAATAAGTCCCTGGTCATGAACTCCCTTGTCAGCACCATGAACAATCAGATCATCTTGATAAACTTCAACACCTTCAAGATCATTAACCACCTTATTCATAACTTCCCGGAATATGGCTGGAGAACAACTTGGACTAAATGGAAGGAAATTGTATTTAAACAGACCAAAAGGAGTATTAATTGTCGTCAAAATAGATGAGGATTGATCTAAAGGGATTTGAAGATAAGCATCTTTTAGGTCAACTTTCGAGAACAGTTTAGAACCATGAAGCCGATTTAGAATATCTTCAGCCTCTACCGTCGTGTATGTTTGCTTCAACAAACGGGAGTTCAATGTTAGTCTATAGTCACCACATATTCTAGGAGTCTTGCCATCCGATTTCAGTGGCGTAACAATAGGAGTACCCCATGCTGAAGACTGAACAGGTTCAATTACAACTTTTGCACACAAATCATTCAACGTCTTATGCACTGCATCTCGAAGACCATAAGGAATTATTCGTCTTTTGAGAAAGACTGGATCATCCTGTACTTGAAGTTTTATAGGCTGGATTTTCATACCTCCACTGCACTTAGCACACGTGGCTACCAAATCTTTAAGTAAAGCATCAGAATTTTCTTTAGAAACTAGGAAAGAACTTCACTCTAAGCCTTTTCAAATTCTTTAAACCCAGTATTGACAGTCCTGTTTCGCTAACTAAAAATTCACAATGTATTTATGAGGAATTATCATCTCTTACAAGCGATTCACAACATCCTCGTATAGGCAGTCTGTGTCCAGTAATCCCCAATATTGATACTTCAGTGGGTCGTACCACAACGTTAGGATCTAAAGATTTCAAGTTCTTGAATGAAATAATGGACTCTATACTGCCTGTGTCCACAATAAAGTCATGACATGAACCAAGTGATGTATATAATCGCTTTTGAATATGAGCATTACCTTTCGAAATTGTAGACAAAGATAAATGATCATTAGGATCAGCTGAATTATTGGGATCTAAATTACAAGATTTAGTACTACTTGAGGCAAAATGAACAGTAGCTTTGCATACTGCTTGAATGTGTCCTATCTTAAAAAAAAAAAAAAAAAAAAAAAAAAAAAAAAAAAAAAAAAAAAAAAAAAAAAAAAAAAAAAAAAAAACATTTGCCAAACTTCGTCTCACCTTCGTGATTTCCTTTGTAATTCTTTATTGAAACACCGTTCATATTTACACGAGAATAGGAACCACTGTTAAACGAACACAATTTTGATTGACCCTGAGATTGTATTTCATCATGACAACTAATCAAAGTATTGGAAATCTTCATCGACTGAGTATCAAATTCATTCAACGCCTCGTAGTTAATGCACGCAGTTTTATCATCTTGAAAGGAACAGTTTGACATTCTTAACAGCTCTCTTTCCGAACTAGGTATGTTAATTCCTGCAATTAATCGGTCTCTCAGTTGCACATGAAGTTGATCACCGAAATTACATTTGACAGCTTGTTTCTGCAATTCAAGAATGAATTCCTTAACCTTTTGTTCATTTTGACTAGTCATCTTATGAAATTTCGCCCTTTCACGGCATTCAAAACTAGGGCACTTTACATGGTTTAATAATAACTCCTTAAGCATTGCATAGGGAAGTGAGATAGGTTTTTCTGGATATGTCAAAGTTTTTAATAAGTTGTACGCTTCTTTTCCGATGAACGTCAGGAAATGAGCCACAATTTTATCATCTTTCTTGGTCATACTCCAGATTTCAAACATTTCCAAATAATCTTCAAAAGCTTCAGAAGTAGAATGAATATCTAACAGTTCCATGACAAGTTCCATCGCGACGCCAATATGATAATTAGAAGTATTTGTATTTTAGGATCAAGAACTACGAAATGAGCATGAACGAATGTACTGTATTTAGCATTCGAAATTCAAGCATTCCACAACAACAAGAAGTCACTAGTTCATTCAGACACCACAGATTGTCAATTTAAATCCTATAGTAGTAGCGGCGGTAATGCAGAAGATTAAGATTCGAAGATATTATTCAAGAAGTATAGTTCAGTGAACATATTCTATTATGTATGAGTTATTTCGTACTTGAAATAGGAAATATTTGCGAACATACAAATTGAATTACAATAATTTAGGTAAATATATATGAAGCATTGATTAGTTATTACAAACACAGCAGAAACTTCTTAAACTTAGAATGTTTTTGACGATATGATTATTCTTTCAAATAAGCTTAAGTTTATTTTACACAAAATTGGAAATGAAATTCGTCTTATTTTCAATGTGTTGACGGCGTCAGATCCGCAGAGCTCACTTGCAAAAGGTCCTAATTTTGGATTTTTATGTTTTCGCGCATAGGCTGCTCAGTTGACCTTGAGATTACATTTCCCACTCGGAAAATCCTTGACTGTCATTGGTTGATGTATTATTTTAGTATGCTATTTTTGTGGCTCTCCCAAGGACGTTTCTATCATGTATACATAAACTCGATTTTTGTGTTTGCCGACTTCGCATTTCTGGGTGCTTGTAGAATACACTTTCTACGCCTTGTCAAGACTTCTTAATATGACTAGCCAGACAAGGGACAACAGATTAGAATAGCCTATCGTGTCACTACATCATTTGTCTTCACTTTCGTTTAGTGAGTAAGGTGAACTCGTAATAGCATTCAAGCATATTAATTGATGAGCATATCAAAATGTATACATTTGAAGCTTCTAACATTTTTTGAATTGCTTACAAAATATAGTCAGTTTACATTCCTAAATAACTGAGCCATAAATGATATAGGTTAAATTATAAGCTGACTTATATATTATTACAGAGATTAAGTAATCTGTCAAGAGATTTTTCCTTATCAATTAAGATTAATCTAAGACAGACAGAAACAACGCAGAACTTCGTACGTAAGTACATCAGTTCAGGTTGCCATACCACATCAGCACAGAGAAGCAACTGTCAGTTCAAATCCAAGACTGATAGCAATAATAGAAGTATTAGCAGTAATGGAGAAGATTAGAGAGAAGATATGATTCGAGAAGTATAATTCAGTAAGATAAATTTAGAAGCAGAAAAGTAGAGATTATGAGGAATGCAGAAGCTTAGGATTTCATAGAACACAAACAGTGGATGCATCTGCGCCATGTCGTTCAAGGTCTCTAACCATCGGTGACTATCGTCTCGCTGATCCCAACCAGGTAGGTAGCCTACATCTACCAACATGACTCAGTCCACTTGTCAGTGACTTCATAGATGTGTGCCGTGTTTTGGCAAGATTAATTTAAATTGATAAGATGTTCATGTGAAGATCTAAATTTCCATGTTTCATCCCAAATTTGGTAACTAGTGTGTATGCAAGAAATGATTTTCATGAATTCCAACACACATTTAATGATAATAATCATAATAATGTGTAGTTCTTCACGATCAATGCCAAACTAGTCCAGTATGCAAAATTATATTATTCAAACCAATTTTAGTTCAATACTTATTCTTTACAACATTATTTTATTTGTACCAACAAAAAAAAATTAATTCTATTTGAAGATAAAAAAAAACAATTTCTTCCGAAATACAAAAACAAAAAAAATGTAACTCATACAAAATACATAATTTTAATACTCAGTCAATAATTTTAATTAGCCTTTTACATTAGAAATAATGAATGAAACAAGGTAAACATTGAATCATTGAAACACTGAATAATAATAATAAAATCGAAAGTACTGTTAAAAAAAAACAAGATAAATAAAAAAAATCATAACAGGAATACAGAAACACTAAACGACAAGTTACTCTTTCAAATAAAAAAACAAAATATTGTTGACATATGAACTCCCTTTGCTTTTTGCCAACAAAACAGAAAAAAACACCAATTAAAAACAATACAGGGAGAGAGAGAGAGCGAGGAGAGGAGAGAGCGAGATGAGACAACAAAAAAGACGAAACAGTTAACAATTTTTTATTACATTAATAATTAAATAATAATAATAATAACAATATACAACTTCTTTTTTTTGTTGTTCTTGTCTTTGTTACTTCCGTGAAATTGTCAGTAGTATTTAGTGATACATTTTAAATAAAAATTTAAAAAATAAATAAATATATATATGTATAATACACAGATATATATTCAATCAATCAATGTGGAGATATGCTCAAGTGAACTACTACTATAGGAAAAAGAAAAGAAGTGCTTACTTTGGGGGAAAGGATAGTGTTGGGTTTTTGAATCAAAGAAAAAAAAACAACGCGGGGGTGGCGGAAATAAAAGATCATTTTCACAAATAAAAAAAATGTAAGGCGATTGATTTTTGTTTTAAAAAAAGTTTCGTTAGGTGTACAATAGAAAAAAAAACACACACATGAGTTCAACATCATCAAGGATGATGTTAGGCTGGTGGTGATAGTGGTGTTGAGGAATGAGTCTGAAGGTGATCATCTTCTAGTCGGTTAACAAACAAACAAATACAAACAATATTACTTTCAAGTGTGTGTAGATTGTTCATTTATGTATTAAATTAGACAGAGACAGACAGAGAGAGAGAGTTATAAAATACAACAACAACCACCTTCATTAGATTTATTCTGTGGAACTTGTGGTTGAGTATTGGCAAGTTTCATTTGTAATATATCGGAGGCCATTGCATGAAATAACTATATTTATTTAATTAAAAGATAGAATAGAAATGATTTTTAGGTAAGGATAGGAGAAAAAAAATCATTTATATATATAATAATTGGTAGTTGAAAGGTGAAGCATAGACCACTGATGATAATATTTTGTGTTAATGAAAGATTACTTACTGTTCAGTAGGCGAAACACAATAATGATTAGTTGTTACTTCATACACACTGGCACACAGTTTAAAAGGAATATGATATGTCATTTAATCTTAATGTATCCGGCACCTACTTGACCAGTGAATAACTCATCTACTGATCACGTGAATTACTTGTTTGCGGACAACCGTATAAGCAGGACAACTGTATAAGCAATGCTGTCGTTAGGAAACAAGTTCTAGGTAGGGACGGCAAATCCATATATGGAGTAGTGAAACTTCATCAGTTGAGGTGGTTGGGATATGTGTTACGTATGGCTAACCACCGACTGCCGCGATGAGCTATGTTTTGCAGTGTAGGAGTAGATTGGAAGAAAGCTAAGGGCGGCCAAACCAAAACATGGCAGAAATCCATGAAGTCACTGACAAGTGGACTGAGTCATGTTGGTAGATGATGGCTACCTGGTTGGGGGTTGCGAGACGTAAATCACCAATGGTTAGAGACCTTGAATGACATGGCTCAGAATCGTTTGCAATGGCGCAGATGCATCCACTCTTTGTGTTCTTTGAAATTCTAAACTTCTGCATTCCTCATAATCTCTACTTTTCTCCTTCTAAATTTATCTTACTGAATTATACTTCTCGAATCATATCTTTGCTCCCTAATCTTCTCCATTACTGCTAATACTTCTATTATTGCTATCATTGTTGGATTTGAATTGACAGTTGCGTCTGCGTGCTGATGGGGCATGGAAACCCGAACTGATGTACGTGCGTACGAAGTTCTGCGCTGTATCTGTCTGTCTGTTACTTGTTTCCCATTGCAATCGCAGTTGTATCAAAACATGATGGAATATTTACTGGTTTGGTATCTTGTATGGAGCGAGTAATCATATGTCCAGTGAAGAAGTTTCTTGTTCGTCCAAGACAAACTAGCGTCCCATCAGTAAACACGAAAAGTCAAGGTTTATTTCAGTTACCTAGTAATTCTGCTAAACAATCGTGAGCGTACCGAAAGAGACTGTCCATTTGATGTGTGAGTTTCGCTCACCATTCATCAGTACTGATGTGTCACATCAATTCTGATGAGTTAGTTAATGACTAACGAGTTGTGTCAAGTGGGCAGGAAATGTGAGTTTTCGGAAATTCATAACGTTTGTAATAAATATGTGGGTGGTATATGAATATTTATTTCAATTCAAGCATTCCGTGTAGCTACAACACTCATTGTTCCACTGTACATCTGGTGTACGTACATTTTCAAACAGGATAATGTATCTTGGATTATAGATTGTCACAACCCATTGGTTGACTTCATCGAACAACTCAGGAAAAGTAACCTGAGCATAACTACTTCAAGCATCCTTTCAAATCAATACAACCAACTTGAAATTAGTTTACGTCCAATATTGGTCAAATGTTCACTAAAAGACTATGGACACTGTAATATTGATCACATAATAATACTGTGTTATAAAGAAGGGATTCAAGTGTGCTGCGTGAGTATTGGAGATCACAGTTGATTCATACTACATTGCTCATCTTCTTCATTCGTCCCCAGGTGAACTTGGTTATGAGGATGCGTTATTTGAAATTTAGAAAATATCTACTGTGAAACTGATTCACAATTGAATCTTGTTTCTCTCTAGAAACAAGTGATCTGTTAGTTGAGTCACGCGCCGGAGTCTCCTCTTAGGGCGATGTATTTTTTCCAATTTCAAAGTTGATACTTGCTTGAAATAGACGATGCTCATCTTTGTCTATTCGCCAAGTCTCAACACCGTAAGAACCATCCAAATTTATTCAAAATGATTCCCATTTAAACAAAACAATCTCAGAATGCACAATTATGTCAATAGAGACTGAATAATATATATATATATATATATATATATATAGCCTTTAATATCAACAACAAGAGAATATCACTGCTTATAAATAAGATCAGTCAGTCAGCAACAACGTAGAATTTCGTATGTACGTAAGTATATCATTTCAGGTTGCCATACCACAATAGCAAATAGACGCAAATGTCAAACCAAATCCCATAGTGATAAAGATAGTAGAGGTATTAATGGTAACAAAGAAGACTAGGGTTTGAAGACATTATTCAAGGAGTATAATTCAGTGAGATTAAGTTAGAAAGACAAAGGTGGAGGTGCTGACGATTCCAGAAGATTAGGATTTGAGAGGGCTAAACGAAGGGATGCACTTGCGCCATTGTAAACGATTTTGAGTCATGTCGTTCAAGGTCTCTAACCATTGGTGACTTTCGTCTCGCGGACTCCAACCAGGTAGCCTACATCTACCAACATGATTCAATCCACTTGTCAGTGACTTCATGGATTTCTGCCATGTTTTTGTGTGGCCGCCCCTAGCTTTCTTCCAACCTACTCTTACACCACAAAACACAGCTCGACTAGGCAGTCGGTCGTTTGGCATACGCAACACATGTCCCAACCACCTCAACTGGTGAAGTTTCAATACTTCATCGATTGATCTGCCATTCTTACCTAGTACCCTGTTTCCTAATAACAGCGTTGCTCACTCGGTTGTCCCAGGATATACGAGCAATGCTTCGGAGACATCGATGATCGAAAACCAGTAACCTACGAATATCTTCTACTCTCACTGGCCATGTTTCACCGTCATAAAGTAAGACGGAGCGAACCACTGCGCAGTACACTCGTCCTTTAGTCAGCAAACGGATATCACGCCTACGCCATAAGTGACGCAGGTTGGCAAAAGCCAATCGAGCCTTCTGTATCCGTGCTGAGATTTCGTCAGTCACCAGGCCATCGGCACTGATGAGACTCCCAAGATAAGTGAAGTGGTCTACACGTTCGACTACTTCACTCCCTATCACTAGTTGAGGAGTCGATGCAACCCAATCATGTAGCAGCATTTTGCATTTCGAGGGTGAGAACCGCATCCCGAACATGCTTGCATTGTTGCTTAGGGTAGTCAGAAGACTCTACATTTTGTCAGCGTCTTCACGAAGTAGGACAAGGTCATCGGCATATTCTAAGTCGATAGGCGAGCCACCTGGTAGAAGGTCAACCCCTGAAAAATCAGACGAGCTTAATGTTAACTCTAAGAGGATGTCTACGACAATGTTAAACAAGAATGGAGGGAGTGAACAGCCCTGACGGACACCACTTGAAGCAAAGAATTCCGGTGACAGTTCGCCATAAGCTCTGACTGGATCAGTAGTGTTCAAGTAGAGTGCTTGTATAAGGTTAATGTATTTCGTTGGTACACCTTTTAACGACAGACACTGTCACAGAACCTCATGATCCACAGAGTCAAATGCCGCTTTTAGGTCCAGGAACACGACTATTGTCGGACGTCTAAATGTGTGTCTGTGTTATAAATAAGATCAAATATCTTTGTTATTCTCACCACAAAAAAACTAGTGCATTTAAATAAATGATACTTTATATACACAAATTTATTAAAAAAAAAAAAAACAGGAAAAATTACCTCTTTAACATTCTCTTGTGTTTTAGCTGAAGTTTCAATATAACTTATTCTCCATTGTTGAGCTAATTTACAAGCTGATTCTGTTGAAACTTGCCTTTGATCAATTAAATCTTTTTTATTACCAACAAGTACACATGGAATACGTACTGATTGTGGATTAATTAAATATCTTTCTCTATGCGAAAAAAAAAAAAAGTTATTTTTTGTACAGTCGGTGTTCATGTAATAATGATATTGAATAATCAACTTATGTCTTTTAGTGTAGATTGGTTCGATGATTTCAATGAACGGCCTGCCCAGTGGTCCAATGGTTTTAGGCATTCGCGCACAATACCGAAGGTCCCGGGTTCGAATCTGTTAGGATATTCACCAAATATCCTCAGAATACTATTTTTAGAAGTGCAATCCTATTGGTCGAATTCTATCGGCCGAAATTATGATCGTTCTTACCGTCAGGGTCAAATACTTCAATGTTACCTCTTATTGGTTCATCTGGACGGTCAATGTCATTCAAATGTTCTTTTCTATTGGTCGTCCTAAATTGTCAATGTCACGGACGTTGATGCTTTTTGCTTATTCGACCATAGTGTATAAATACGCGCTATCTGGAAGACTTAATAATTCCGTTTCCACTGCCTACTTCTTCTTCTGTTTTCGACCCAATAAACATCTTCCTTCCACGATGTTACGTTCTGATTTCTAGGAGATTTGGAAAAGCCTTTTGGGTCGTATTGTGATATTTGAATTGGACGCCGTTAGGACTGAAGAGTTACGTAGCCGCATTTACAACAGAATCCTGCTAGTAGCAGGAGTCATGGGTGCGCATTGACACTGATGAGTCCCATACCAGGACGAAACGACCGTCTTTCAGTGCTTCCATGTTTCTAATGATGTGGTCTAACTAACAATGATTGATTGATGATTTCAAATGTGTAAAAAAAACACAAATCTCCAAAATTTCAATAACTGTTAGACTAGATTAACTTGAAAATTATTATCGAAATTATGTCGCCAAAAAATGTCAAATTGAATTCTTTCTGGCTTTCAGAAGCGGCATCAGCCTCATGACTTCCGAAGGAATTCGGCTTTCATCATGAGACTGTCATAACTCTTCTAAATGAAAACCTTCTAACTCTTAGAGCAGAGTTTGTATGGTTTGAATTATTTTTTCTTGTTAGCGTTTTGTTTTTTTTGGCGAGTTAGTTTTTTTTGCGGGATGGGATTGCCAACCCCAATGCTCCTTCCTTTTTTATCCGGGTTTGGGATTGGCAGTATCCTTGAACGGTCTACAGCCAGAGTTTTATTATTGAATGGTTTTTTTGTAGTTCACTAGTTATTAACTGAATGTGTTTAAAGATGAAAGGATATTAAGTTACACAACCCCGACCGTAGCTGCTACCTTGACGTGGTAGTCGGGCTTGCCTATCGTGATGACCCAACCGAGCTATATTGCCTGGAACATATGTGCCTGAGGGTTCTACCATGCCACGCAGGTCGATTGGAGAACGATGAGATTAAAAGCAGATACCCAAGGTCTGAGGGCGAAGTCGTACTGCTGACTGAAGAGGGGTGTGACGGCAGTACGGTGTTTTCCTCGGACAACCAGTATCTGCAACGATGCTGCCTTCTCAAAAGGAAGAAAGGGTTAGAAAAGGTCGACCCTAAAAATGTCACACCTCACCCTACCTCACGGATTTCCATCTTTGGCAGTAAGGGTGCCCACTAAGGGCTTTTAAGAGCGGAGCTAATCCTCAAAAAACCTTTCATAAAAAGGCCGTGCGTGACCGGCCTCAAGCGGTTGTCCCTTGGGCTCTGCGGTCACGCTCCCATGTCTCCAAGACCAACACTAATTTATCTTCCTTTTCAGGTCCCTCAAGAAACAACACTAAACCTCAATATTAATGTAAAGCTTAGAAACCTTTTGTTTTTAAATAAAGGTAAAAAAAACATGAAGAGATTGAAAATAAACGACAATCAGAGAGTTATCGTTACAAAAAAAATGTTCGTTTACCAGTTGCAGTTTAGTGACAGAGATTATGAGTATAAATATAAAGTTTTATTTTAGGTTATAAACCTTCATTGATGCTGGGTAATTAGAAAATCTGCAAGTCATTCCTCTCTAAATGTCACCTACTGGATTCATCATAATGTATGTTAAGCTCAAGAGTATATCAGATAGAAGATTGAACATTGATCTCAATAATAATAATTTGTAGAATTTTTTTTTAACTGATGATTAAGGAGACTAACTAATTATTGTTGACTTCTTCTTTGAAACACTGTGGGTACAAATGTTAAACAATCTAACTTAAAATCAACACAGTAAATCAATGTAAATCAATGCTTTCATTATCTCTCTGTCTCTCTTTAAATCTTCAACTAGACTGCTTATATTCAACTTTTCTAACATCTCTATCTCATCTACTGTCTATTTCTGCTTTTTATTATTTATTGTCCAAAGATTTATGTTAATTTAAAAATGAAAATAAGTGAATCGATCCAATATATATATTTATGCAAATCACTGAACTCTCTATGCACAAATTACTCAATCGTTTATAATTAATACTGAATGATAAATGTTTATCTGCATTACAGGGTTGTGAAGATTGGTAAGTTACACATTTTTTTGAAACCATCAATCGATCAATGTTAGACTACACCATTAGAAACCTGGAAGCACTGAAAGACGGCCGTTTCATCCTGGTATGGGACTCCTCAGTGGCAGTGCGGCTCAGTGGTCTAACGGTTAGGGCGTTCGCGCACAATACCGAAGGTCCTGGGTTCGAATCCTGCGAGGTGCAGGAGTCGTGGATGCGCACTGCCACTGATGAGTCCCATACCAGGACGAAACGGCCGTCTTTCAGTGCTTCCAGGTTTCTAATGGTGGTGTAACATTGATCGATTCATGGTTTCAAAAAAATGTGCAACTTAACAATCTTCACAACCCCGTAATGCAAATTATCTGTGCTCACTAGTGACGACTAGCTTCGTGAGGAATCACCTTCTCCGTGTTCTAGTGGGAAGACGTGATCAGTGAAGTTCAACCCTGTCGGGTGTAGACAGTAATCACTACCGAAGACTGTGTATGAGGTTGCGCAACTCCGTGAATTTGATCAAGTTAGACAATAACACCGTTGGATACCGGCTCAGTGGTCTAACGGTTAGGGCGTTCGCGCACAATACCGAAGGTCCCGGGTTCGAATCCTGCGAGGTACAGGAGTCGTGGATGCGCACTGCCGCTGAGGAGTCCCATACCAGGACGAAACACCACTTCAGTGCTTCGAGGTTTCTTATGGAGGTCTAAAGTGGATCGATTCATGGTTTCAAAAAAAATGTTTATTTGTCCGATACTTTCAATTTGAAGCAGTTAAGGATTTTAAAGTAGTAAAAAAGGACTCAAAGTTTTAAACTATTTATTATCACATTAATTTTGATTGAACATGAGAGTTTGTGTAAGACAGTATGTTACATTTTCTAGCCATTTATTGAAACAATTTCGCACAATTGAACAGAATACAAATAGACAGTTAAAAACAAATGAAAACAATCCAGTTGTAATGTAAATCAATTGACTAATAATTAACACATCTCAGGCAGTAATGTTGTTCATTCAAGTGTTATATTATACGTTGACAGATTCAAGAATTTTAAAATAAAGAGTTAATATTTTTTAATGCTGAGTTTCTGACTCAGTTAGTCAGTCAGTCATTGACAACGTAGAACTTCGTACATGAGTACATAGTTTCAGGTTGCCATACGGTATCAACACACAGACGCAACTGTCAGTTCAAATGCGACAGTGGTAACGATAGTAGAAGTATTAGCAGTTATGGAGAAGATTCGAGTTCGAAGATATGATTCGGGAAGTATAATTCAATGAGATAACTTTTTGGAAGAGAAAGACAGAGATGATGAGAAATTCAGAAGGTTAGAATTTCAGAGAATAGAATGAATGAATGCACCGGTGCCATTGCAAACTATTTTGAGTGATGTCGTTCAAGGTCTCTAACCATAGATGACTTTCATCTCGTGGATCATTAAACCGAAAAATAAATCTGTGCATATAATAGTCATATGTTCTCTAAGGAGTAACCGTGGAAATCTGTAACAAGTAGAAGTTGCTAATCTGTCAGTCAGTTACAACGTAGAACGTCATACATATGTACATCAGTTCAAGATGCCATACCACATTAGCACAAAGACGCAATTGTCACATCAAAAGAGGTCGATAATATTGAACGTTAGGTATAACATAATCAATGAAAATGTATGATGATCGTACAATATCATAAGCTGATGGAAGTTGGAAATGTGAACCAACTGGTGGAGAAGATTTGTAGCTCAGATGGATGATTGTGGTGTTGGTGTTTGGTTCAATCAATCTTATGTAGACCAAAGGACAAAAGGACAAAGGATGAAAAACCAAATATCATCTATAAAATAAATTGCTCAAACTGTGGACAAAGTGGACGACCTCTTCAGCTACGTGTACGTGAACATCAATTAGCAGTCAAACGCCACGACAATTCTTCGCTTATATCAATACACACATTTGATTGGAACAATGTGGAAATACTGGATAGGGGGAGGACAAAGAACACTAGGGAATTTTTAGTAGCTTGGCACACTCAGGTCAATCAGCAATCAACAAACACATCGACATTGACCCAATTTATCAACCAATCACAAAGATCATAGTTGACTTGGGATCAAGAAACAGAGAGAAAGGGGGATACAATCAAAACAAAGGTGTAGACAACGACAGATTTAAGGCCGACATCAACCAATCAAGATCGAGGTTAACAGAACAGGCTACAGGTAAAACCTGGAGAATTTGGAATCCTTTCACTTTTATCTGAAGTTTGTGCTAATGATGTTGTTTAGAAGAACAATGAAAACTCAACAACCAAAACACTATCCAGCTCAGAGAACCAAACACCACCACCACAATGTGAACCAACTCTACGGTGTAAAACTGACGCCATTACTTCGAGTACTGAAGGTTCTAAGCAATTTGTCATGGCATCCAACATTTGTCTATCTAAAATCTATCAGTGATGTTAAGTACACATCGATGAATCACACCAAGGAATCGATTGAAGAAATGTCATCAGTGAAATCGCCGTACTTGTTTAAAATACGAAAGTTTACCATCTAACATTTGATTTGTCCACAATCCATATAAAATATATTACTTCAGAAGAAATTGTTAGGATATTCATCCAATATCCTAAGAGAATTATTGGTCAATTCCTCTCGGTTAATTCCTGCTGATCAATTTCATGGTTGTCCTGACTATCAATGTCACTTCAAATGTTGCTTCGTATTGGTCGTCTTAACTGTCAATGTGACAGACTTCCATGCTGTTTCCCATTCGACCAAAATGTATAAATACGCATTATGTGTAACGTTTTATGACCAGGACCAGGATCCCGGATCCCCAGTCCGGGATCCTGATTCTCTTCTGGATTCGGACCTCGTACTTTCTGGATGCTTGTAGAATACAGGTTCTACTTCATATCACGTCTTCTTATTTTTACTAAATATGGGGGTTGGGATAATCGGATTTGAGTAGCATGTCGTGTCGCTGGATCCTCGCTCTCGTTTTCCGACTAGGTAAACTCGTAATAGTTGAAGCATATCAAAACGACGTGTTTACGTGCCGGCGTAACAGAAATGTAGAAAAAACTAAACAGACTAGAGAATATTTTTTTAAAATATTTTTGCATGTGTTATAGCAAAACACATGAGAGAATAATAAAAAAGTGAACTTTTTTTTTACCAAAAACCAACAGGGAATCTACAGATTTTTTAAAAAAAATATATAATAAGAAATCTAGGTAAATGTGTTGTACTTTATTGTAGTAAAGTAAGATGAATGAGTTGTGTTTTTTTGGTTAGACATCATAATTGTATTGACTGGCTTTGAATAGCTATAATGGGGACGATTCGCAGCTTTGAGATGCATGTTTTAAACGCAATATAACATCAGCGCTGATGTTATGTAAAAGTGGGTGTTTTTTAGTATCTTCTGAATGATTGCTATGGTAGTATCTTCAAGTTCCCATCCTATACAGTAGAACTCTGTTTTGACGTTTGTATTGAAAATCGTGACTTTCATGTTGGTTGATTGTTGTTTTGAGTTCTAGATTGTATAAATACTGCCTTTGCTTTGCCAATCCTATGCCTTTATATCTGAGTCAGGTCCAACTTGTTTATCAATGATGTTGCCTAGATATGTCAACGTTTCTACATTTTCCAAAGCTTCTCCATCAAGTGTGATTTAGTTGGTGCATATTGTGTTGTACCGATAGATCTTACTTTTCCTCTTGTATATGTTGAGACCTGCTTCTGCAGAGGCTGTGGATACACTGGTCATCTTCTCTTTCATTTGTTGTTGTGTGTGGGATATGAAGGGCTAGATCATCTGCGAATTCTAATCTCATAGCTGCATCTGAGCTGTTCACTTTATCGCGTGCTTAACTCCCCCCCCAAATGCTGACATCTTCATAATACAGTCAACCATCAGGAGAAAGACTGAGAGTAAGCAACCTTGTCTAACACCGGTCTTCACTTCGAACGAGTCTATGAGCTGTCCTTCATGCACGATTTTGCAGCGCAGTCCGTCATAAGAATCCCGCATGGTGTTGTTGACTATCTTTTCAGGTACGCCATAGTGTCGAAGCAGCCTCCAGTGTAAATGCTCAGTTGTACAATATAATTATAAACGTAGAATGGGACATAGATCAAATTTTAAATGATAATTTGTATATCTACATTAAATAAAAAATACTTACAACAAAGGAACAACAGCAGTGAATGATTCATAGTCAGTTATTGAAAATACAATGATAAATCCATCACTATTACGATAGAACATATCCATTATACCAGCATATGATTCTTGACCTAAATGAAGTTAAAATAGAGAGAAAGAGAAAGTAGTGAGTACATGAGAGAATTGTAAACATAATCATATGACTAAAAAACACACTTAAAATCATCAGTCAACCAACAGCAACGTAGAACTTCGTACGTACGTACGTACGTACATCAGTTCAAGATGCCATACCAACCACATGAGCACAGAGACGCGACTGTCAATTCAAATCCCATAGTAGTAGAGGTAGTAGAATTATTAGCAGTAATCGGAGAGATAAAAGTTCGAGGATATTATTCAAGAAAGTAGAATCTAGTGATATAAACTTAAAAAGAAAAAGATAAAGGTAATGAAGAATTTAGAAGGTTAGGACTTGAGAGAACACAAAGAATGAATGCATGTATGTCATTGCAAACGGTGTTGAGCTATGTCATTCAGGGTCTCAAACCATCGATTATTATCATCTCGCGGGCCCAAACCAGGTAGTCGACACTTACCAACATGGTTCAGTCCAATTGTTAGTGACTTCATGGATTTTTGCCATGTTTCGGTTTGGCCTCCCCTAGCCTTCATCCAACCTATTCCTATACCACAAAACATAGCTCATCGAAGCAGTCGGTGGTTAGACATACGCAACATATGTCCCAACCACCTCCACTGATGAAGTTTCCCTACTTCATCTATTGATTTGCCATCCTCACCTAATACTCGTTTTCTAACTATAGAATTGCTTTCTCAGTTGTCTCATGTCATGAACTCAAAATAGATTGATCAAATATTCCAGCTCAACTTAGTATCCTAAGTGAGTTGGTAGCGGCATAGAGTAAGTAATAAATATTCATTTCGTAGAAATTAAACGAGAATTAAATGAGAATGTTTTTTGTTGTTGACAAAGACATCGAATTAAAAGCATTGTTGATGACAAACAAATTTCCATAATTTGATATCTATGAATTGTAACACTTTTCTCAAAAAAAAAACTTGATTTTCACAACGACTACCTTGTTATGATGACTATAGATAGATCAGTTAACAACAATCCGTCTGTTTACACTACAGTTATAACTACTTATTATAAGAACTGATTATTACTATTATTAGTAGTAGTATGTTATCCCCGCCTCAAAGAGAAAAAGACAACTAAACTCATTACGTGCTAAAAGAAAGAAATCGAAAATATCTACTAAAAAAATTTAACTATGAAACACTATAATAATGCTATGAGGAAAAAATCTTCAATATTAATAAGCGGTAATGATTATTTGATTTTAGCGGCTTTTAAAATGTCACAATTAAAGTTTGACCTGATCTTATCTCAGAGACATTGAACATTGAACAGACTGTATACAATAACAATAATAATGTCTGCGATTTTTACCAAATTCAATTTAGATTAATTCAAAGAAATTCTAGATGTGTATTTAAAATAAAAAAACAACATCTATCTGCATTTATTGCAGTGACACAAAGAGTACAGTCATTCCTAGTACTAATGTAGTGAACGAGAACACAGGTGGGCCAACCGGATTGTATTGAACGAAAATTACAGAGTTACTCAGTAAAATTGGAAAACCATATCGTAAA